ATAGATAATTATTTTAATAATGAAAAAACAAATCCTTTTAGATATTTTTTATTTCAATATGAAAAAAATTACAATACGCAACAAGACAAAGATATTCATATTCAAGGTTGTTTTATTTTACATGATCAAATACGAATAGGATCTTACCTTAATATAGGAGATAAGAAAGGTGAAAAAGTTTTAAAGAAAATAGAACATTCTGGAATTAAGAAATTATTAAAGATTCAAAAGATTCATTTTGATGAAGCGAATGCAAATTTTGATTATTCAATAGCTTATTGCAAGAAAAAATATAATCGTTGTTTTAAACATCATAATCAGCCAAATCCAAACGATCCAAAAAACAAGATAATGAGATGTAGATGCTCTTTTCAAGATTTAAATGATTTTTCTGAATGTAATTGGTGTAATATTGAATGTTGTTCAAAGAGAGAATTAGCTAGATATGACAACGAATCAGGTTTTTTTGAGTATGGAACTTATAAAACTAGTTCAAAAAATTCAGAAGGAAAAAACCAACATCGATCTTTAAAAAACAAAAGATATTTGACAATAGATGAGGAAACATCAGCAATTGGAATAATGAATGATTTAATTGATGGAAAAATATCAGGTGATGAAGTAATTGTTAACTATGCAAAAGATCAATTGAGATGGGTCGTTAATAATGGCCCAGCAAATATTTCTACAATCAGCAAAGCAGTAAAAAGTTTAGAAAAAAAGAAGATGAAACAATGTTGGAAGCCTTGTAACATATTCTTATATTCAGACAATAGTCGTGTAGGAAAAGGATATCTATTATCTATATTGTTTCCAAATGCATATGAAAGAAGAAATAATGGTGGAAGATTTTGGCAAGGTTTTAAAAGTTCTCATAGAGAAGTTTTAGTTAATGAATTCAAAGGTCAAGAAAAATATTTAGAAACATTGAATCTTTTAGATTATAAGGAATATTCTGTTCAGATCAAAGGCTCAGATATTAATTTTTGCCCTTTTGTGATTGCATATACAGCAAATACAAGTATTCGATTCATATATGACTTTTGTGAAGATGAACATTTAAAACCTAAATCAGAACAGAATTATAACAATACTAAATTATTCAGTGCATTTGTAAACCGATATGATTATATTATCGAATTTAAAAAATTTAGAGATGATGATAGAAAACTATGTGAAAATGAATGTTTTTGTTGTCGAATTCGTATGATTTTTCATAAGGGTAATATTGAAGATTTTTTTAAATTTAAATTTGAAATTGAATTTAATTATGATGTTACATTAGAAAAAGCAAAAGAAATTGTTAAAGGAAGATATGGAACTATAGAAGAATTAGATAATATTCTTTATTATCGTGATGAATATTTAGTTGATAAGAGCAAATATATCCTAGGA